AAAACTTGGATGGCTATAAAGATCATAGAATGGGAGGGAAGAGGCACAGAAGGGAAATATAGGCACGGTTTACCAGCTGAGATTAAATGAGTGTGGGTCGATGTGAATAACATACAGGATATTGCCACAATCAAACCAAGGTAACAGGAAAATATTGTGGATATTATATCCTAAGACTTATTTCCCTATCCGTCCGATTACTTATGACCATTGATCTGAAAGAGATGGATAGTTCATAGTTGAAAGCACAGAATACATTAATGGGTGAAAGTGATATAGCGGAATGACCGGCACCGTATGCACACATGGTATCCTTTCACATTAGGGTCTGGGTCTCAAAGGAGGTGACACAGAAGGAAGTGTTTCATCTGGGAAACAGCACTAGACGCAGACAGGTCTTGGTTAGAAAAGGAAAGGTTGGATGGATCCCTCCTCACAGCAGTGGCTGTGATGTCTATGAAATCAAGGCACACTGTTAAGGAGAGAAACGTGAATACATGTGTTTTCGATTGTTGGACTGCCTTAGGATAACTGCATGACAACCAAATCCCCAGAGATATGTTATTGGGTTCTATTGAGGGCACAGAAGGTATCTCATGACTGGCTAAATCACATTACATTGAAAGTGCTGTGACAATGGACTAATTCTCTCCATGTAGCCTGAGAGTGTTTTTTACTTAAAACCAACCACATGATAATCAAATTGGTCATGCCATACTTGGAGACCTATTTATACATGTAGTAAGCATGTTATAAATACCCTACCAAATCCCATAAAATAATCCAGTTTGAAAAGTAGGCCTATGCACGATAGGTTTATGTGACATGAGCACTGGAGAGCGTCAGTCACCACCCCATTGCTATGCCCTCATTTATAGCACCAAAGGTCAAACTCAGATTGCAAATGTTGCTAAAGTTTGTTTATGAGGCGTTTTCAAGCATATTCATACTTCTAGACAATATTCCACATGTGTATATAAAAGCTCACACGTGATGCGAAAAAAAAGTTTATAAACATTCTCATACGATTTTCCCCTCATACTATAACAACGTTAATTTATTCAGTTACGTTGTATCGCTGACCAATAGCCTACTCTCCATTGAGGGGGTTCATTTATCTGGCCCAAGTTACCCAGGTGGGAGGAGTTTGTAACGTGATTGCATTAATTTTGGAACAGGGCTGCCTGAGCCGGATCGAAACAAAATTGACGTAATTAAGCATGTAGAGTGATGAGTCGGATTCTGTGCAAAGGTGATTGCTTTTGATAATGAAAGCTAGTTTGAACATTCAAACATTTATTTTATGGAAAAGAGATGTTGTATGTTTCGGCACGATTGGCCTACACCTAGCTGCCTTGTTGACAATATGACCGTGGCGCAGATTGCTGTTTGATTTGAGAAGGGCGTTCCTCCCTCCCCGCTGTCCCCAGATGACATGATGGGCCATTGCCCGGTTCAACCCGGGCCAGGATAATAGAACTCCCTCACTTTTACAGCGCGCGCGACGGGTCACGACCAATAATTATCGATGGGGCAATGTTCAGTTGCTTGCTTAGTTTAATACTCTATGTTTTGTGTAGGGGTGTTTGTCTTTATTCGTTAAATGTTCATGTGATATTATGTCCTAACATGGTGCGATATATTATGTAGCCTATTAGCCATTGATATTGAAACTAGTGAAAGTATTGATCATTGAGTAATATCCTCCTGAGACCCCGCCCATTGATTTATGTCCACTGTTGTGGACATTTGAGTTTCATCCCTCTTCTTGGAATATTTTGTGCAAGTCTCTTAATTCCTGCTGTACTGTACAGAGGACATCCTGGGCTTTTCAGTGATATGTCATTTGATTGGCTGGGAGGCCGGGAACCGCCTCTATCTTTCCTTTCAAAATGGACGGCAAAGGAACAAGCACATTTTATGGAAAGATGAGAGGTAAGTCAAATATTGTTTGTCTATGGTTTTGTTACTATGATAATCATATATTTTCTTGTTCATGAAGGTGTTAGGAATCATATATTTAGTTCTGATAGCAACTAAATTATGTATCTTTTGAAAGATTTGCCATTTTATGAATGTCAATTATAGTGGACATCAGGACTATCTTCATGTAAATAATGACTCCACATTGTCGTAGGAAACAGAACTGAAGCAGAAAGAATTCTTTACCGAATAGTCGAGGGAGATTCAGATTTGGATTTGTCAGATGATGAGAGAGATGAGGATAAGTTTCAACCAGTGATACAAAACGGTGATGAAGAAGAGGAAGACAATGCAGAAGGCTCAGTTGAAGGGACAGATGCAGACACAGACAGGGATGAACAGGAAACTCGTCGCCCTCTCTGGGCCAGGAGTAACATGTATGTTTGATGCAGTTCCACAATTTTAAATTCAGCTGCATTGAGTATTTAAACTGTTATTACTTATCATTTATTATTCTTTTTTCCTTCATATCAGATTTGCACCTGTGTTACCTGGGCTTCCTGTGTGTCAAGATGACCCTACAACACGTGCAGACTGGAGTCCAATTGAATACTTTTCACAGTACATTGACAACAAGGTCTTTGAAGATTTGGCAACATACACAAATCAAAGAGAGCTGCAAATCAAAGGAGTGTGCATGAACACCACGCCACAATAAATAAAAATATTATTGGGCATTTCAGTCCACATGGCCTGCCTTGGCTATCCCAGAATTAAAATGTTTTGGCCCAACAAAACTAAAGTGCCAGTCATAAGTAGCAAAATGACTAGGGATAGATTCTTCAGGATAAGAAATTCCCTCAAGATTGTCAATGACCTGGCTGTAACAGAGGAAACAAAGAAGGCAGATATTCTTTGGAAAGTCAGGCCAATACTCGATCGTGTGCGCCAAGGCTGTCTCAGCCTTGCAAAGCCAGAAAGGGTCTGCATTGATGAGCAAATCATCCCATTCACAGGCCGTTGTCCAGTCAGGCAATATGTTCCCGGCAAGCCAAACCCTACTGGCCTAAAGGTCTTTGTCCTTGCATCCCCAAATGGTCTGATGCTTGATTTTGAAGTCTACCAAGGGAAGAATACCTTTACAGTCCAAAGGTTAGGAGTTGGAGCTGCAGCAGTTCTACGCATGGTTGAATCTGTTCCAACAGGAAGCCACATATTCTTTGACAGGTACTTCACAACCATAGATCTATTGGATGCATTGCTGGCAAAGGGCCTTCCTGCAACTGGAACTATAATGAAGAACCGTGTCCCAAAGCTGTGCCAGCTGCCAGTAGACAAACAGTTGAAAAAAGAGGGGAGAGGAACATCAGTGTCAGTGGCCAGAAAGAGTCCTGAGCTGGCCATCACAAAATGGTTCGACAACAAACCAGTGCTCATGGCATCCACTGTACATGGGAAAAAACCCAGAAGACATCTGTACCAGATGGTCCCAGAAAGAAAAGCACCTGGTCCAGGTTAAAAGACCAGCAGTAATTAAGCAGTATAATGATAACATGGGTGGCGTAGATCTTTGTGATCGCATGCTTAGCTTCTATCGTATGTCAAGCAGGACCAAGAAGTGGACATCGCGAGTGATCAGTCACTTCTTTGATGTTGCCATCACCAACTCCTGGATACAATACCAGTCTGACAGCAAAGCTCTGCACAGACCATCCAAGAACACACATCAGTACCTGGACTTCAAACTACTCCTAGCTGAGGAGCTGTTGGAGAGTCCGGAACTGGAAAACAGCTGTGAAGAGAGTGAGGATGAGTATGAGCCACCATCTAAAATGAGGATCCCACAACCAGAGCCATCTGTGCGCAGACTAGGAGCCATGCACATGCCTGAGATGATGGATACCAAGCATGCAGAAAGATGCAGAAATAAGGGCTGCAAGAGCAAGACGTACATGAGATGTACCAAATGCAAGATGTTCCTCTGCATTACCAAAAAGAGAAATTGCTTCCAGGACTTTCACCACTAACAAAGAAAATACTAAGAACAAAATGAAGAGTGAAGGAAAAAGCTAGATTGGATTCAATTTGACAGAAGGAAAAAATCAAAAATAAATCTGTTACACATTAGTTATATGTTCATTGTTCAAATAACACTGAAAGGATTCAAGGGGACCAATCAAAGGATATGGACATAACAAAGTGTTAAGCTTTAATAGTAAAGCTATCCTTGCGAAATGTAAGGAAAAGGATTCAAGAATGATTAATGTGTATTGTATAATCAAAATGTCTGTATTCTTGGATAATAATCAATCTACAGCCCAAAATGTATGTATTCTTAGTTCATAAAAACTCTGTAATCTGTAAGAACTCTGTAAAAAAATTTATCTACCAAATGTGTCTCTTTTCGTACTCAAATGATCCTGTTGTCCACTACAGTGGACATGCTGTAAAATAAAAAATAAAAATAAAAATTAAAATGTGGAAATTGTAGGATGCTTTTTTTAACCCTAAACAGTTATTGAATCACAAAAAATATGATTAGGAAAAACAATATTTTCCTTGGTTCTCAGGAGGATATATTAATGTTAATTTATGAAATACCTTTTTAGGTGCATTTTGGATTATCCCCGTTCAATCAACAGAAACTACAGTCCCCATAGTTACTTGGAAATTCTCACAGCCTCAGCTGCTCGGCTGTCTGAAATGCATTCATTGAACAACAGCGCGCACACGAGTTCAGTTGAGGGAGAAATTAGAGGTAGGATTTACATACTTTCCTTGTCAATGTATAAAGTTATATGTACATTGTTTAAAACCTATTATTGGTGTCAAGTTCAGCAATGTTTCCCTGCAATAAGATAATATTAACTCGCATGATGAAGCTAACATTAGCTAGCTAATATCAGCTACTGTAGACGGTTAGCTAAATTGTCTAGGCTAGTTTACGTTAGCTGTAGCTAGCTCTCTGACATTGTTCACTAGCAAGGGGTTTATCAAAACAAGCTTAGCTACCTCTGCCAGACACGCTTAGCTACCTTTGGTTGAGCTGGCTGCATTAGCATGTAGCTTGCTAGTTAACTAACGTTCGGTATTCCAGACTGGAATCTGGTTAGCTAACGTTAACTAGTTAGCTAACATTGAATATGGCTCGTGCCAGCCATGAGTGCAGAAGTTGCACCCCTGTTTCACCAAATACAATTTAGCGATTACTTCTTAAAGTATGTATGGTCTCACATGCATGCAGCATTGCAATTACAAAGCTATCTAACTGGTAAACTTCAATGCAATAGCTGGTCAAAATATCTATTTTTGGAATGTGTCAACCCCCCCAAGTTAAATCAGTCCAACGGAGAACAACAAAGTTATGTCATGTACTGACTGCACCCATTCCCTTTTTTTGTTGCGATTCAAAATGTATTTTGGAATACTGTTACTATAATAAGTGTGATTTTAAATGACAGCTTTTGGTTGAGCACCATTCCACAAGATAATGAAGAATACAGCACTCTGTCAGAAAATAGACTTTGCATGACTATTTGCAAACATTCTTGTCTTTTACAGGTTCACAATGACCGGAGGTCTAGCTGTAAGCTAACTTGCTTTCAATCATTGTCAATCCATGGAATGGAGCAAAGGTTGACATTCTCTCATACATACAGTATGAAAATGGCTGCAGCTAGCACTTTAACTCCATGTTCGTCATTGTGAAAGGTTTCCCCCTCACCCCCTCTGTAATGTTTAACACTGGATCCTTTGTGGAACTTGTAAGGGAAGAGTGCTAACAGGAATCTTTACTCATTGTCTGCGTAGAAACCCTGAATTTGAGGTTTAGGCCCTACTCTCTGGTTTCTATGAAAATTCCTATAGCAAGCCTCTTCACTATAGCGTACCACTTAGTAATTTGATACTGTCAGAGGTAGACTTGGGACTCCAGTGTCCACTGTCAGGCCACTGCCATGGTGGACAAAGACGCTATGGTGAGTGGGGACAGGGCTGTGGAGGAAGAGGCTAAACTGGACCTGAAGGAGACCGCCCCTGGAGAGCCTGACCCTGAGATGGCTCTTCCCCCACCTGAGGACCCCTCAGACGGCCAGACCAAGACAGCCCGGACCTGGGAGTTGTCGGTGGTGTTCCTGTGTTTCTATGGGTTTATGGTGCAGCTGAAGCCTGGGGAGCCCTTTATAACACCAAACCTGCTCAGCACGGAGAAGAACTTCACCAGGGAACAGGTCAGTGATGCACAGCCATCCCCCTATAACAGCGTGAAATGTTGGTGTGGTGTGTTTTTTTGCTTAAGAGTGCAATGTGTGTGGTCGGTGTGTGTATGCAACTATCCGTGTGTGTGTCTTAAGTTAACCACAGTTTGTAAGGGTGGGTAGATGTGTAGGAGGTAGGGCTGCACAATGTGGGCGAAAAATCACATTGAGATTATCTTTTTCTTACCAAATGTTGTGATTTGAAGTTAAAGATCAAAATACTAGGGTGAACTGTTGGAATCATAGAAATTGAATAACTTATATTAAAAAGTAGGGCTGGGAATTGGCAGGGACCTCAAGATACAACGTTATCATCATACTTAGGTGCTGATACGATATGTATTGCGGTTCTCAGGATTCTATATGTATTGCGATTCGATACTCTGATTTCATTATGATTAGATGTTCTAAACATATTGCTCACCATATGTCTGCTGCAGAGGGACAAGAGAGAGCCATGAGAAAACGAGTTTTGATCAGTCATGGAAATAAAAGTGCTGAAAACAAATAGTCTCCCTATTTAAAAAGGAGAACATGCTATGAAGGAAAAATACTGGAATTTTGGTGCAGGTACAGCCAACTAGTGCAATGTTTTTGGGGCCATATTGTCAAAACGATATGATATACAGTACCAGTCAAAAGTTTGGACACACCTCCTCATTCCAGTTTTTTTTTTACTATTGTAGAATAATAGTGAAGACATCAAAACTATGAAATAACACATGGAATAATGTAGTAACCCAAAAAGTGTTTAACAAATCAAAATATATTTTATATTTGAGATTCTTCAAAGTAACCACCTTTTGCCTTGATGACAGCTTTGCACACTCTTGGCATTCTCTCAACCAGCTTCATGAAGTAGTTACCTGGAATGCATTTCAATTAACAGGTGTGCCTTGTTAAAAGTTAATTTGTGGCATTTCTTTCCTCCTTAATGCATTTGAGCCAATCAGTTGTGTTGTGACAAGCTAGGGGTGGTATACAGAAGATAGCCCTAAAATAAGCAAAGAGAAACGACAGTCCATCATTACTTTAAGACATGAAGGTCAGTCAATACGGAAAATGTCAAGAACTTTGAACGTTTCTTCAAGTGCAGTCGCAAAAACCATCAAGCGCTATGATGAAACTGGCGTCATGAGGACCGCCACAGGAAAGAAAGACTCAGAGTTACCTCTGCTGCAGAGGATAAGTTCATTAGAGTTACCAGCTTCAGAAATTGCAGCCCAAATAAATGCTTCACAGAGTTCAAGTAACACACACATCTCAACAGCAACTGTTTAGAGGAGACTGCGTGAATCAGGCCTTCATGGTCGAATTGCTGCAAAGAAACCACTACTAAAGGACACCAATAAGAAGAAGATACTTTCTTGGGCCAAGAAACATGAGCAATGGACGTTAGACCGGTGGAAATCTGTCCTTTGGTCTGATGAGTCCAAATTTGAGATTTCTGGTTCCAACTGACGTGTCTTTGTGAGACGCAGAGTAGGTAAACGGATGATCTCCGCATGTGTAGTTCCCACCGTGAAGCATGGAGGAGGATGTGTTATGGTGTGGGGGTGCTTTGCTGGTGACACTGTCTGTGATTTATTTAGAATTCAAGGCACACTTAACCAGCATGGCTACCACAGCATTCTGCAGCGATACGCCATCCCATCTGGTTTCCGCTTAGTAGGACTATCATTTGTCTTTCAACAGGACAATGACCCAACACATCTCCAGGCTGTGTAAGGGCTATTTGACCAAGAAGGAGAGTGATGGAGTGCTGCATCAGATGACCTGGCCTCCACAATCACCAGAACTCAACCCAATTGAGATGTTGGACCGGAGAGTGAAGGAAAAGCAGCCAACAAATGCTCAGCATATGTGGGAACTCCTTCAAGACTATTGGAAAAGCATTCCAGGTGAAGCTGGTTGAGAGAATGCCAAGAGTGTGCAAAGCTGTCATCAAGGCAAAGGGTGGCTACTTTGAAGAATCTAAAATATATTTTGATTTGTTAAACACTTTTTTGGTAACTATATGATTCCATATGTGTTATTTCATAGTTTTGATGTCTTCACTATTATTCTACAATGTAGAAAATAGTAAAAATAAAGAAAAACCCTTGAATGAGTAGGTGTGTCCAAACTTTTGACTGGTGCTGTATAGTAAAAAATAATATCCCTGTATGTAACGGTTTTGATTTTTTCCCCATCACTATTAAGAAGCAAAGTGGAAAGCGGCATCGTTCTTGTTTGGAGCGATTGGTTGACTGCATTGACCTAACAGAATAGCATGTAAACTTACAGTGAATCTAACAGCGAGGAGTAGGAACTGCACCGTTTGATAGGAAGCAGCTGCAAGGCAATTTCCTACGATGTAGGCTATAGCCTTGTATGACAACCCTGATATAAGCTGTATCAGCTGACACTGAATTCATACTTGGAGCTTGAACAACAACCTCTCAATCCCAATGTAATTGAAACAAAGTGCCAGTTATTATTTTCCAGTGTTCCTTAGTCATGGAACCCACTGGACTGTAATAAGGCAATCACAGTGTGAGTGCGGTAACCCCTCCTCAGTATGGTCAAAGTTCACATTCCTACAAAATAGGTCAGAGTCTCTTTTTCTGATTGGTTACTGTAGGCTTGTCTGGCTCAGTGTCAACTAATGAACCTAATGGCCTGAAGTCTGCAGACTCATTGGAAGGTGTCCTAGCATACAATGTAGTCTTAGTTCAAATGAAGGGGATCAGTGAAGGTTTTTGCTCCCCTCATTTCCTGTAGAGGGAGATTAACGTTGTTGCATTGGCAAAAGGTGATTCTAAACAGCATATGAGGCATGTGCATTTGTCAGTGTTCGAGGATTCACTGGGAACTAGCCTAAATATGCAATTTGAGAATACCTGCCTGCACATTTATATAGCCTTCAGCTAAAACAACTTTTTACAACGAGAATTACATTCCACGTAGCCCTCTCAGTCCATTCTATGTGGTCTCCCTCTCTCATGCCCCCCATTCTATTCCTCCAGGTGACCAATGAGATCAACCCGATCCTGTCCTACTCCTACATGGCGGTGCTGGTGCCAGTCTTCCTCCTGACAGACGTCCTGCGCTACAAGCCCGTCCTGGTCCTCTCCAGCCTCAGCCACGTGGCCATCTGGCTCCTCATCCTCCTAGGCTCCTCCCTCTTAGAGATGCAGTTCATGGAGTTCTTCTACGGCATCACCATGGCAGCACGCGTGGCCTACTCCTCCTATATCTTCTCCCTGGTCACCCCAGAGCTCTACCAGCGCGTGGCCAGCTACTCGCGCTCTTCCGTCCTCATGGGGGTGTTTACCAGCTCGGTGCTGGGTCAGGTGCTGATATCCGTGGGCAGGCTCTCCTTCGCCACACTCAGTGCTGTCTCCTTGGGCTTGGTGTCCTTCGGCCTGGTTCTCTCATGCTGCCTGCCCTGGCCCAAGAGGTCCCTGTTCTTCAACAGGGCCCACCGCGCTGCCCAGAGGAACCTCCAGGAGCAGGCTGCAGCGCAGTCAGAGCTGGCCAGGATGAAGCAGGGAGAAGGGGGCTTGGGTTCAGATGACACACCCTCCCTGGCCCCTCTCAGCTCTGGTTCCTCCTGGAGGGACTCGGTGTTCATTCAGATGCTGAAGGAGCTGAGGAACGTGCCGCGGAGGCCCAGCCTCAGACTGTGGAGCCTGTGGTGGGTGTTCAACTCGGCTGGCTACTACCTGGTGCTGTTGTACGTCCATGTCCTGTGGAACAAGGTGTACCCCGCCACGGAGAACAAACACGTCTACAACGGAGGGGTGGAGGCTGTCTCCACACTACTGGGTGAGGGATCAATTTCCCCTAGGTTTTAGTTTTAGGCTGGGTACAAAGGCCCCCCCAATGCCAGGTATACAAGTGTTTTAATAACCAATGTGTAGCATTCACCTGGGTTTTTACTGTCTGACAGGGTTGGAGCCTGTGTTCTCCAAGTCAGTGATTCGTACAAAATATTAACACCCCTACAGCAGTTGGCAGAGGTAGTAGTGAGAGAACCATGGCAACATGCAGTCCAATGAGTTCTCTGGCATCACATGACATCAGGTCAAAAGGTTTGTCTTAGACCAGGGTTCCCCATCTCCAGTCCTCCAGTACCCCCAACAGCACACATTGTTGTTGTAGCCCCAGGCTAACTCACCTGACTCAACTTGTCAAGGGCTTGATGATTAGTTGACAAGTAGAATCGGGTGTGCTTGTCCATGGCCACTACAAAAATGTGCACTGTTGGGGAGGACTGGAGTTGGGAAACACTGTTTTAGACAGACCCCTCTCCAATGATTTAATTAGGACTGAAGTTACATCACCTAAACAGCTGACAAGGACAGGAGACATACAAAGCCCATCAATCTAGAAAGAGGAATTCCCATGAAGCAGAATGTGATGTGGTGACACAACATAACAGACAAAACAGTCACGTTCTGATGAAAGGTGGTTGAAGATTACAATCATTTAGATGATAACCACACAGGGAGGTGATGCCAGACAGTATGCTCCCCATAGTGACTTAGTATAATTATGTTATTGATGCCTAATAATAACATAAAGGCTTAATGAACCAGCAATCCCCTCTGTTTGCCTTGATACGATAATCACACTCTGTGACCCTGTGTCTACAAACACACACACACACACAGCATTTATTAAATGAAGTTCCCCCAAGCCTTAACCACCTACTGACTCATTAACTTAGTCAGCTTTTCTTCTTCGACTAACTCCACCTCGTTAACTCTGTCCCAGGTGCGATCACGTCGTTTGCAGCGGGCTTCGTGAAGATCCGCTGGAACGTGTGGTCTGAGCTGGTGATCGGTGTGATCACGGCTCTGCAGGCTGGCCTGCTGCTCCTCATGGGGACCACCAGCAACATCTGGGTCTGCTATGTGGCCTACTCCTTCTTCAAGGGTTTCTACCAGTTCCTCGTGCCTATCGCCATGTACGTTTTCTTAGGTCCAGTTTTATTTAACATCATTGTGTACATATAATGGGATGTGGTGTTTTGGGGATTGTGATGTTCAGATGTGTGCAGTGTATGAATGCATTGTCAAATAGAACTGTGAAATTGTTCTTACTTTAGGCTCTACATTTGATCTGCTGACTATTTTTTATTTTTTATTTAACTAGGCAACAAATTCTTATTTACAATGACGGCCTACCAAAAGGCAAAAGGCCTCCTGTGGGGACGGGGTCTGGGATAAAATAAAAATACTATATATATATATATATGCCATGCTATGTTGTTGTCTTAGGTCTTTCTTTATATAGTGTTGTGGTGTCTCTTGTCGTGATGTGTGTTTTGTTATGACGAAACACACATCATGACAAGAGAGACACCACAACACTACATAAAGAAAGACCTAAGACAACAACATAGCATGGTAGCAACACATGACAACACAGCATGGTAGCAACACGACATGACAACAACATGGTAGCAACACAACATGGCAGCAGCACAACATGGTAGCAGCATAACATGGTACAAACATGATTGGGCACAGACAACAGCACAAAGGGCAAGAAGGTAGAGACAACAATACATCACGCGAAGCAGCCACAACTGTCAGTAAGAGTGTCCTGTTGTGGTGTTTGTGCAGTTTCCAGATCGCCTCGTCTCTCACCAAGGAGCTGTGTGCCCTGGTGTTTGGGGTCAACACCTTCCTGGCGACCATTCTGAAGACCATCATCACCCTCATCGTCTCAGACAAGAAGGGCCTGGGACTAGATGTGCACTCCCAGGTAAATCACACTGATTACCACCACGCTCAGACAACTTCCTGCAAGCTAACGTCAACCGTACGGAAACACCATATGTTTTCTAATGAGTGCTGTTCCGTTCTCCAACCGTATGGAAACACCATATGTTTTCTAATGAGTGCTGTTCCATTCTCCAACCATATGGAAACACCATATGTTTTCTAATGAGTGCTGTTCCATTCTCCAACCGTATGGAAACCCCATATGTTTTCTGAGTGCTGTTCCATTCTCCAACTGTATGTAAACACCGTATGTTTTCTAATGAGTGCTGTTCCGTTTTCTCCAACTGTATGGAAACACCATATGTTTTCTAATGAGTGCTGTTCCGTTCTCCAATAGTTCCTGATCTACTTCTTCTACTTTGCCTTGCTGACGGTCATCTACCTGGGCTGTGCTGTCTGGGTCATCATTCGCCACTACAGGAACCAATCGGCGGGAGGGGGAGGGGCCACAGACCAGTCCACGCCCACTGAGCTATGTTCCGTACCATCAAAACCCTCGGAGACGGAACCTCTGTCCAATGGGAACAACGTCAAGGCCTGAAAGGGATATTTTGGGATTTTGTCAATGAAGCCCTTAATCTACTTCCCCAGAGTCAGATTAACTTGTGGAAACCATTTTTATGTCTCTGCGTGCAGTTTGAAGGAATTTGCTAGCTGTTCCTGTAGACTTCCAGTCATTGCGCTAGCTAATGCTAGTTTGGCATTGGCTCACGAAACTACCTCTAACTTCCTTCATACTGGATGCAGGTACATAAAAATGCTATCCTAGAGTTCATCTGACTCTGGGGAAGTAGATTAAGGGCCTCATTGCCAAAATCCCAAACTGTCCATTGAACATTGTGATGTCATCTTGACATCAACCCCTAAACCCCCTACACTGACATTGAGTAGAGTGGTCTAAACGGTCTCGCAATCTCAAAGACAGATGAGACTTAGAGGTGAGTCGAGACCTCATGACATTTCCTTGGACGTGTTGGTGGAGTGTAGTTTACCAGTATTAATGAACAATCACTGTTCTCATCCTTTAGTGCCTTATCTGTTATATCCAACGTGTCTTCAGTTCCCCAAAAAGGATGTTATTATGAAATACATAGTTTAAAGAATTACAGGCAGGGCCCACATACATTATTACAAGACAAAAAAGCTCACTCGATCAAGCCTAATGGTCTTGTAAGTATGAAAGCAAAGCTCACTTTCATATATATATATAGATAAAGAAGCTTGAAAGGGTAGTGGAATGGGGTAATGTCTTAGTGCAGGGTGGGAAGAATAAAATACATCACCTTATGTGTGGTACAAATCCCATTATTGTGGGAGCACCTCCTCTAATAGTGTGAATTAGGCTGTGTGAGAAGGTTTGCATTTTAAGCAACCTGCCTAAACATTGTTTGAAGTACAATAGACCATCATAGCTACTGTAGTAGGTCAATTTAAGGAATGTCCTTTTTCGCCTTCAGACCAATCCCTACTTCTTACTCAAAACAGTGTGATGTTTTTAATAGTCATAGGTTGGGCCTAGTTGTCGGCCCAATGTTTTCAGAGAGACTGTTGACATGGACTCTGTAGTGGCTGCTTTGCTCTTTTCTTATCCCAGACACATCCCAAAGGGTGTTATTCACTGGCGATTATGTTCACAGTTTTCCAAATACAGAGTAATCATATGTTTTCCCTGTTTATGTTGAAGCACGTATGTCTTTGTAACACCGACTGAGAAAATAATAATCTCAAGTAGAGGGGACCAATAGGAAATGATCTACTGAAACGGTCTAACTAATTCTACTGGACTACTACTTCTACTGATGGAACAATAGCAAATGATTCACTGTTTGCGATCATTAGGAATTCTCGACAATTGCTGCAATTGTATTGATTAGCAAATATTTTTTTCATCTGTGTACATATTGTTAGCTGTATAGAAGTCCTCCAGTGAGAGAGGGTTGCCCCAAAGGATCGTGATTACTATGTGATCAAAGTAGCATTGCTTTAGATTAAGCAGACACTTGAAAGGATGCATTTTTGGGCTGCTGAATCTTCCTGAATATATTTCTTTGAAAAGTGTGAAAAGATTTTCTAAATGAAGTGCTTTGTGTGTATGTTCACTACGCTCCCATTGTCTTAGGTTTAATCAGCTATTGGTTATGAACAAAGCAGATGCCAATTGTTTTAGGACCTTCAAACTAACCATATCAGTGCACTTACTTGCTGCCAGTGATTAATTCATTGCACCTTGTGTCAGGAAGTGTTTTAGCTACCATTTTGTGTATTGTCTTGCTTAGGGGAGAGTAGGGTAAGTTCAGCCATTTTTTTACATTCCGCATCACTCCGTCAAGGAAAATATAGTATTATTTCTATCAAAGATATCTACATATATTTCAGGGTGTTGTGTATCCCTGGAAATAATCAGAATTCATGTAAACATTACAGTTTTGAAAACATAGGTTGTCTGAAAAAAGTGGTCTCTTGGCACAACTTACCCCGTGTATGGAGTAAGTTGAGCCGCGGAATAGGGTAAGTTAAGCCATGCTGATGTATAGAACAATCTCAAAATTATCTACTTTGGTTTTGATACAAGCATCATGAAACCTCTAACACAATAAATTGTGAAAATCGTTGTTTTTTTTTACCTAACTTGCTTACCACTTTTTCCATGTGATTTCTTCCTTCAGACTCCATGAAATGATGACCTCTTCCTAGAAATTTAATTTTGTGTATGGTTTCCTAGAAACAAGGGTGGCTCAATTTACCTATTTTGCTCAATTTACCCCACTCTCCCCTATTTTATTATTTTTATGTTTTCATGCAGATTTGTCTTTTCATCCCAAGCAGTGCTAATAATACGTTCATTCATTTATCATTGTCATCTTTTCTAATAGGAAGCCCACATTAATGTGAATGTGTAAACTGGAGTATAGTTGTCATGAACTACTGCAAATGAGTTTGAGGATTTAGCTATGAGCTGGCAGACCTTTATTCTGCATGTTATTTTCCAGAATGTTCTAATGAGCTATTTTGTGTTGTTTTAATGCAGGGGTTCCCAAACCTTTTTGCTTCGTGACCCACCAATTGATGAGTCTTTTAAGTCTCGACCCACCATAAGGGTTGAGTGGTAAAAATAAATAAAAAAGCATATACACAGACCAAAGAATAAATACAAAATATGATCTTGGCAGCGGACAGAATATTTTGCAGTTTCAAAGCTAATCCCCTGCAATAGCACACATCTTGTCATGGAGCTGAAATAACTTTATTGCAATTTTAAAACCAATTTCCTACAATTCTATGCATTTTGACATGGAGCTGAGATTTTGTTTGTTTTTAAGCTAATTTACCACAATTCTACGCATTTTGACATGGCTGGTGTTCTTATGCTCAAACATAACATCAATGGGGGCCTGATTGTATATCTTTTATTTTGTTGATTGTAAAATCTCAAACATTATAGGCTATTATTGAAAAATATATAGGTCCATTATTTTTTCTACATCCCAACCCACAGTTTGGAAACCACAGTTTTAATGGAACAATTTATTTATCTGTGTGCGTAGGAGTGAAATTGGGTTTTCTTAAATGTTTGTCACTGAGGAAATGAAATGCAAAATGTGAAAATCTTTTAGGCCTATATGTTTATCCTTTGGAATCTGACAACTCTGGGAACTCATATCTGGTGTACCCTTTACATTCTAAATGTGTCTCCCGAGTGGCGCAGTGGTCTAAGGCACTGCATCGCAGTGCTAGCTGTGCCACTAGAGATCTCCAGGCTCTGTCGTAGCCGGCCGTGACCGGGAGACCCATGGGGCGGCGCACAATTGGCCCAGCGTCGTCTAGGGTAGGGGAGGGAATGGCCGGCAGGGATGTAGCTCAGTTGGTAGAGCATGGCGTTTGCAACGCCAGGGTTGTGGGTTCGATCCCCACGGGGGGCCAGTATGAAAAAATTTAATGTATGCACTCACAAACTGTAAGTCGCTCTGGATAAGAGCGTCTGCTAAATGACTAAAAAATGTAAAAAAAAATATATATATATACCATACCTAACGTACGCCCATAAATGCAGATTACACTTGCACAATTTGTTATTTTACTTGCCTATAGTTTAATTGAATTACAATGCATAGGAAGTGGTTTGCTGAATTCCTGCCCCCTTGAGTAATCTTAGGACCATCATCGTACTACAAAACGCATACAAAACTGAGAAATCATGTCAGAATATAGACTATTATACTAGTTGAGTGCTTATTAATTACATGTAGAGTGGATAAAAGACGTGCGTGAACAGTACAAGTGCTTAACTTGAGAACACGATGTACAATGGGTCCGGAACACCAGATATGCAACTTGAACTTTGCACAATTCTCTTATTGATTTAAACGGTCATATCTCAAGGTAGGATTCGGCCTATAGTGACGAGGTTGTAGACAATGATTTTTACATGGTCATATTGGATCATAAACAAATACAAATGTATGAGATGAATTTCACCTAATAGTCGATATGCCGTGCAGTATACTAACCAACGACTTCAGTATAGGAAAAGATTTGTAACGTTAACTGTCAGAATTGTTAAATGTTTGTGTTATTGTCACACTGACTTCAATCAATGCCGAATATACACTTTGTGTGAATGACTGTGAACCTATTTTGTTGATGTAAAAAAACAGAAACTGATGTCAACAGTTTTATTTTTTATTTACAAATAAATCAGTTTTGAAAACATAGTGTAGCATTTGTGTGTTTGTTTGCAATAAACGTTGATGACAAGATAAATGATGTGGCCTAAGGAGACTCCTCCCCAGGGTCATACACCGGTTCATTCAGTGAGATGCAATGCTTTTGTCTTTGGATTTGGGATAAAAAGCCTACTTGATTTCTATCAGAGTGCATCTTGTCAACTGTAACTACAGTCCATAGACACTTAAGAGCACTTTTGAGGATTTTGAAATGCAAAAGGTTGTGTTTTTGTTTTGCATACTAATTACATTTTTCTGATACACAATGTCATGGTTCTTACCTTATCTCTTCATAGATCTAAACAGGTCCATGGAGTCCTTTACTGAAAAGTGGGCATGTTAAAACTACTTTGACTTTTTTTTAAATCACAAAATAAATACTCCTTTGTTATTATCAAAACATTTGAAATATCCTGTTCCCTTGGATGTCCGATAACAAAATAAAACAATCCAACATTTACGACAATGTTATATATAGATAGTGCTTCAAAAACTGGTTACATGTACAGATTACAATGCAATTTTTAAAAAGTGAATAAAAAATTACAACATTGAATAATAGACAAACATACATTTCATGTACAATACTGCAACAATTAGCTTGTTGGAATCATAGAGAGCATAGAATTAGTGTCCTATTTAATCCATGGGTGTGGTTTAATTCTAGGACAAACTTAAAAGGCTATAGACTTTCTACAATACAGGTAAAAAAACTAAACATAACCATTGTGATAAAGTCTGTCCTCTAACCCTCAATGAACATGGCTTTATGAAGAGATTTCTGAAGTGGACAGTTAAAGGAAAAGTGGAATGTAACACAGAGGGAGGAATGAGTCCAAACTCAACTGAAAACCACAGTGTTGAGGTGTTTACAGAACAGTGATTTAGACCTATGTGCAAGGGGTTGGGGTGGGCTGTTTGGTCAGCTGCGATCAGTGTATAAAGGGGGGGGGGGGGGGGGGGTCCATCTCTTAGCCTGGTTGTGGCTGTTCTTGATCAACCCCATATTATGGACATGTGGTCCTATTTGGCCAGCTGGACTGAGTGTAATGGAGAAGGGGAACGTAGCTGTTACAAACAAAGCACCATTGTGTGTGTGTGTGTGTGTACGTACGGTTTGTTAGGCCTACCTCCTGGATTGGCTGATGTGTTTGTGTGTTTCATTTAGGCTTATCTCTTGATCTGGCTGAAGTGTGTGTGTGTGTGTGTGTGTGTGTGTGTTTGGTTGGTCACTCCTATCTCTTGAACTGTCCGATGTAGCTGTTCTCGATGCAGAGCACGGCGTAGGAGCTGTGGCAGCTGCTGGTGCTCTGTTGGAGGAGCTGGCCCCCCTGTAGAGAGGAGGCCATGCCCGTCAGCGCCCGCTCCCCTATACGCCACGTCTCACAGTAGTTATCCACCTGGCGGTGCCCCCTGCTCGTCGAACCGTGCCACATCATCTTGTCTGGCCTAGGGGAGGAGAGGATTAATGGAGGGAAGGAGATGAAGGGATTAATCATCATATTTTTGCTTCCATTCACTTTCTCAGCTGTTAACTTTAAAACTACATAACTTATCAATGCCTTCTTATGGACGTTGATATTTTGTGTATTGTGAGTGATATGTAGAAGTGTAGTGGCAGGTAGCTTAGTGGTTAAGAGCGTTGTGCCAGTAACCGAAAGGTCGCTGGTTCTAATCCCCGAGCCGGCTAGGTGAAAAATCTGTCAGTGCCCTTGAGCAAGGCACTTAACCCTAATTGCTCATGTAAGTCGCTCTGGTATAAGAGCGTCTGCTAAATGACTAAAATGTAAATGTAAAATGTAGTGGATCACCATGTGCCGTCTGTGAGGATGTCTTTGCCATCGAAGGAGTAGATGGGTACGTTGTCCTTCACTCTGCCCTCTGAGTCACTGAAGATGGCCTCCCAATTGTCAAACAGGACCTCGTCCTATAGAGGGGACAGACAGATGTTTAGGGACGGTTGCTGCCAATTACTTAAATGATATGGAATGATACTGCGATTCTGATTGAAGCTGAAAATGCATCTCAGTCTTAGCGCACAGTACTGTACCTTCAGGTTGACGATGGGCATGCGATCCCTGTCTGACTTGCGGACGATGCTGTAAAGGTCCTGGAGCTTGGAGGAGAGGAAAGCCCGGAAGGTTCCCTTCAGCCCTATGGCCCGAGCCTGGTTAAAGCACAGGAAGTCTGCCCCTCTGATACCCCGCATGTTACCCCCCTGGGGGGCGTTCAGGGCCATCAGGTGAATCTGCAGAAAGAAAGCAGAAGAAAAGTGTGCTTTTAAAAACATGCTTCCATCACATCCATGATCACAAGTATTTCAGTAAAGACATGTTTTTAGGTGAACATTTTTTATGACATATTTCAATACTGGCTACTCACGCTTGGGCCTGACGTGTGTTGGTGGGTGGGGGTCTCAGGGGGTCTGGGTCTGCGTTGTGGGGTTACAGGGTAACGGGTGTCTGAGTAAACCGGGTACTGTGGGACGGGGGCTGGCTGGGGCTGGGGCTGGACCGGCTGAACAGGGTCAGGGCTGTGCAGGCGGTCTGTATAACTGGGGTACCGTGGATCAGTGTGTGAGGGGTATCTGGGGTCTGAGTTTGAGGGGTAGCGTGGATCCGGCTGGGCTGGGTAGCGTGGATCCGGTTGGGCTGGGTAGCGTGGATCCGGCTGGGCTGGGTAGCGTGGATCCGGTTGGGCTGGGTAGCGTGGATCTGGCTGGGCTGGGTAGCGTGGATCCGGGTGAGTCGGGTAACGTGGGTCGGGGTAAACAGGGTGTTGTTCCTCAGGCTGTGGCTGGTGGAGGTCTAGCTGTCTGGGGGGTTGCTCTGTGGAGGTGCCACTGTCGGAGAAGTGGCCTGTGGCTGTGTTGAAGGGCTGGTAGTAGACCACTGGAGGAGGGTCGACAGCTGCCACCTCATTACCCTGCAGATAGATACAGACAGAGAAATAATGTGAATGTGATTCACTCACTAATGTGATTAATAACTTCATTAAGCAATTCACTCACTGTCACAATAGTGTATTGTCAGCATTTCTCAAGTGCACATTTCCAAGGACTTACCTGGTCAGGGGGTAAAGCTATGTATGGTCCAAGCTGAAAGGTAAAGGTAGAACATCTAAGTTAATCATGTAAACATTAACAAAGGATGAAGGTATTGTGTTTTCTAAATATAGTGGCTTGCATTCATTACACTGGTAAACACTGCACCTGGATTTGCCGGAAGCCATCTCGTACTCTGATGTAAAAGTCTGTTTGGTCGACCAGATACACCAGCGTCCCCTCTGCCTGTCGTCTGGCCGTGGCTGTCATCGTGTCATATGACCTCAGCACCATCACCTGTTCAAACATAGATGACAAGGAGCTAAATGATGTCATATCCTGGAAGTGGCGCATATATCATCATAGTGAGGCCCCATTCAGAAACAAGCCCTAACCAAGACCCTACACTAGGAATGGAGCAGTTAACAGACTCACCCCAGAGGAGTGTCCATCAGTCCCAGGTGGGCCAGGAGGACCCGGAGGTCCAGGGATGCTGATGGCTGAGATGTAAAAAGATCACGTTCATTGAAGCTGTTAACCGTAGCACTACTGTACTTCATGTCACCAGAAAGTTTACTTTAACGTGTGTTTCTGCCTATGTACTGTATGTATGAGTGTGTGTGTGAGAGAGTACGTCTCACTCTGTGATGGCCTGTAGGCTCCAGGTGAGGAGGATGATCCTGGAGGTCCGGGGGGCCCCGGTGGGCCTGGGTTCCCTTGCCTGCCTTCGTACCCTCTTCCTGGGTGACCTGGAGGGCCCTGGGGCCCTGAAGGACCGATGATGGACTCTCCCTTTGGCCCCTGGAGATAGATAGATCAGATAGATTTGTTTTTTCCTTAAAAGGAATTTGTCTTGCCCATTACGACTTGCCATTGAATTCCATTCTACATGTCATTTGATGCAAGGCACTGATAAAACGTGGAGAATGCAGTGAAATAAAATGGCTGTTGTTGTTGTTCAGTGGTTATTCTTACTGGAAGTCCTGGAGGTCCAGGTTGACCACCCTGTCCACCGTAACCTCCGCCATAATATCCTCCAGCTGGGTCGCCCTTCTCCCCCTTCATCCCAGAGTCTCCTCTCTCTCCCTTCATCTCGTTCTGCGGACACACACCGTGTAATTTGACCTCACGTCAAACACATACAGAAGCATGGCAGGTTGTGAGTGTGGAGCGCCTTAGTAGTTATATCACTTACCTTGAAGGTGTAGATGTCAAAGTTTGACGTGAGACCTACAATGGACACAATAGAACATGAGTTCAATCAGCTCAATCTCATGTGTTAGTACAACTAAGGCCAAAGGTAGTAAATAACTAGTTGTCCAGCTGCTATAGCTGTTTTGAATGTACCTGGTACCCCAGGTATTCCTGGTACTCCACGATCACCTTTCTCTCCTTTGGAGTCTGATGGGGGGAGGAAAAAGGGCAACATGTAAGCGAACACATGACATAGTTTTACATGTAACGTTTTATGTCATGGTGTGAGACTGGCCAATGAGAATGAGTTGACTTACCAGGATAGAACCGTGAGACATCATCATACCTCTGAGTCTGAAACAGAACCAAGGAGGAGAAAAGATACACTACTGTACGTTGGAAAGAGACCATATCAATTTGTAAACACACATTAGTGGCTTTGTGGGTTTTAACAACTAAACCAGCAGGTAGTAACCAAGCTGATTTACACATTACAACACCAAAGCCTGGGAAAGATACAATACTGGATCAGACATCTACTCACGTTGAACCTGTCCAGAGGTACTGCTGGCCCGGGGGGTCCGGGTGGGCCGGGTGGTCCTGGAGGACCCTAAAAACACGGATCAATCTGGGTTAAACTGAGACCTAGCATTACAACCACACCAAAATGATGATCTACCAATACAACTGATTTTATGAACAATTACTTTTTGGACATGCTGACCTCTGGGTTGTACCCCAACAGTCTTTCACTTATGATTCACTTCAATCACCAACCAGTGGTGCCATGCTTACTGTGTATCCATATCCTCCAGCTGAATCCCCCTTCTCTCCTTTGACACCATTCAACCCAGGACGGCCCTGTAACCAACACACTTGCTTAGTTCCAACAGCAACAGTACATCATCAGTTTGTTAAGACTGTATGGAAAATAGGACACTTGGATTCTTTCTAAAGGAGACTTCTGTGCCATTTAGCATATACTTTTATTCAAAGCGACTTACAGTCGTGTGCATACATTTTTACATATGGGGGTCCTGGGAATCGAACCCACTATCTTGGCATTACAAGCGCCGTGCGCTACCAACTGTGCTACAGAGGTCCACCACTTGACTGATAGCTGAACAGAGGTACTTACCGGTCTACCTGGCATGCCGATATCTCCCTTTAAACCAGCTGGACCATAGGGACCCTATAGAGACAGAGAACAATATAAATCTACCAGCTGGACCCTATAGAGACAGAGAACAATATACATCTACCAGCTGGACCCTATAGAGACAGAGAACAATATAAATCTACCAGCTGGACCCTATAGAGACAGAAAACAATATAAATCTACCAGCTGGACCCTATAGAGACAGAAAACAATATAAATCTACCAGCTGGACCCTATAGAGACAGAGAACAATATAAAGTACATCCACGGTTATCTTTGGCTAATCAGAAACAAAGCATATCAATGTTAAAGGGGACAGTACTTACAGGAGGTCCCACAGGTCCCGGGAGTCCTTTATCTCCCTGCACACACAGAGGTCAAAGGGTATAATAATTGAATGTGGCATGGCACATATGAAAGAGGTGGACAAACACATACACTACCGGTCAAAAGTTTTAGAACACCTACTCATTCAAGGGTTTTTCATTATTTTTACCAAGAGTGTGCAAAGCTGTCATCAAAGCAAAGGGTGGCTATTTGAAGAAACTCAAATATAAAATATATTTGGATTTGTTTAACACTTTTTTGATTACTACATGATTCCATATGTGTTATTTCATAGTTTTGATGTCTTCACTATTATTCTACAATGTAGAAAATAGTAAAAATACAGAAAAACCCTTGAATGAGTAGGTGTTCTAAAACTTTTAACTGGTACTGTATGTTCTACATAATACCATACAGTATTGCAACCAACTATAAATCTACTGTGCAGTTGTTCTCACCGGCAGAGACCCCGGCCCTCCCAGGTACAAGGGTCTTCCATCAGGCCCAATGGTAATACCAGGTTCTCCTTTCTCCCCCTGGACAGGACACAGGGTGGAGACATGTCAGTACTTTATGCAATTTTCACTGTACAGAAAACAATATCTGAATGAATGAAGTTGTTACCAGACCTTAGCTGCGTAGCCTGGCTGTCCAGGCTCTCCTGTATCTCCCTTTGGCCCCATAGGCCCCTATAGAAGAAGTTGTGATCAGTAGAAATACAATTATTTATACTTTTACTTTTGATATTTAAGTATATTTTAGCAATTCCATTTACTTTTGATACTTAAGTATATTTAAAACCAAATACTTTTAGACTTTTACTCAAGTAGTATTTTACTGGGTGACTTTCACTTTTACTTGAGTCATTTTCTGTTAATGTATCTTTACTTTTACTCAAGTATGACAATTTAGTACTTTTTCCACCACTGGAAACAGTAAAGGTTAATTGTCTCCACTCCACTGTGTGTGTTCATTGGCAGTGTGGTATTGATACGTACTGGGAATCCTGCCCGGCCGGGCAGAGATGGTCCACCCTGGAGAAAGGAAATAAGGGTTAGGGTGACTTTATAAGGCATTAGAAAACATTTTAAAACAGCATGTAGAGTAACATAGTGACTGTGCCTGCTGAGTCAGATTCTCACCTGTCCTTGACCCCCAAGAACCCCATCAAACTACAATGAGACAGAGACAGATAGGTCAGTGGTGTCACTGAAACATCACTACAATCCAGAGCAGCCTAGACCGTACAGTAGACAGCCACACTCACACTGCCTGTCTGGTAGATGATCTGTCCCGGTGGGCCAGGGGCTCCTGGAGGTCCAGGGGGTCCCCCTTCACGTCCTGGCTCACCCTACAACACAACACACACCACAACATAAGAGCCGAGTGACACTCAATAGATGCCTTATATCTGGGGAAGTTCACGCACAAAACAAAATCTACCACCAAAATATGTAACTCACCCTTTCCCCTCTGTCTCCTCGCTCCCCTTTGTCTCCCTGTGTATAGCACACAAATACACAAGAAATCCAACAGAATAGGTTAGTGCACTTTGCGTGGGTTACTCTAAAGCCAAAGTAACGTTCTAATACAGTCTGGGGAGGTGGCTGAGGGATAATGATCTTCTACCAATTTTCCTGGGAATCCGTCCATCCCTGGTGTTCCATCCCGTCCTCTCGCTCCCTCGCTCCCCTTCTCTCCCGATAGCCCAGGCAAACCAGATCTTCCCTGTATGATGACAGGGATACAGTAAGCATTGGTATATAACAAAGATATGGCCTCCAATCAAACTTAGCAATATATTCAAACGGATTTCCTGGTTCTTACGGGAAGGCCAGCGATTCCGGGCGGACCCTGAAAAACAATGGATATGTGACGATGTATAAGTTGATGTGATGGTAAAGGCAAAACAAATGATGAGTGAATGGCAATGTATAGATCACCTGTGGTCCTGGAATACCTATCACTCCAGGAACACCATTGGACACCGTCACTCCAGAACCCTGCCCGTCACCCTACACGGAGAGGACACAGATACAGTTCAAAAAAGACAATACCACTAAAATATATGTAGTCAAATGTATGTAGTCAATTTGGTAACAATTTATTTCAAGGGAGCTTTGGGGTGGGAAGTGAAGCTGTAGTTTATGTAGTTTACATGGGTTGCATGAGTTGTGTACAGTACTCACATAACGCACGGGGTAGGAAGGTCCGGGGGGTCCTGGTGGTCCTGGTGGCCCAATCGGTCCCATGGGCCCAGGAAGCCCGGCCAAGCCCCCCTGCCCTGCCTGACCAGGCACTCCAGGGTCACCCTGAGAACCCTGGTGGTTAGGAGGGAAGAGGTGAGAGACAGAGAGAGACAGAGAGATTGTAAAGGTGTGTGTGTGTGTGTGTGTGTGTGAGTGTTTTGGTGTGTGTGTGTGTGCGTGCGTGTGTGTGAAAATCAGCAGCCATTTACATGTAGACATAATTGACACAGCATGCTAACATACGAAGAAAGAAGCATTCCATAAAAGGGGAAACACATTAAAGCTGAATCATTACTATAACAAGCAATGCAAATCAATATTGAAATGAATAAAAAACAATTATAAAAACCAATGATTGCACATAGTTTAGTTCCAATATAAAACATCCAGAGTGATAGTAAAATCTCTTAAGCAAAGACAAGTTATTGCCATTTTTCCTATAATGAGCACACTGAGGATTTGAGTTTTTCTGTGAGCTGATTCCCCCCACATGCGAGGAATGCAACTGAAACCAAGGAACCAATAGCATGCAGTCGAAACCAAGGAACCAATAGCAGGAGACCCAGTAGTAAAAGTTGGAGAAGGAGGAGAAGGCAGACAAAGAGTTTTGCTAGAGGGAGACAAGCATAAGGGAGAAGATCTGTATCCTGAGAAAATCCTGACCCCTTTCTATTCCTCACACCACCACCAACATCATGTTTAGACTATCGATCTCGAGGAGAAGTCCCACTCCCAACAGCACCAAAGAAACAAGGTCAAAGCGAAGATAGCAATATATTTAGATCTAAGATTTAGAGGTGGGATAGTGTGGGTGTATTTCAGAGCTCACCTTCTCTCCACTAGGCCCTGGAAGACCTAGATCACCAGCTTCTCCCTGCGGATGAGAGAGAGAGAGAGGAAAAGAGAGCGGGAGAAAGAGACGGGGAAAGAGAGAGGGGGACAGAGAGAGAAATACAGAGAAAGAGATACAGAGAGAGAGAGAGAGCAGGAGAGAGAGAGAGGTAGGAAGAGGTAGAGAGAGAGGTGTAGAGAGAGAGGTAGAGAGGTAGAGAGGTAGAGAGAGAGTAGAGAGAGAGTGTTGAGAGAGAGTAGAGAGAGAAGAGGTAGAGAGAGAGGCTCGAGGATCTGTCGCTCTCTCTTCGAAGAGCTCTCTCCGCTCTCTCTCTCTCTCTCGCGCTCGTCGCGCCGCTTCTCCCGCTCGTCGCTACTCTTTCTCTTCCTCTAGTGCGGTTCTGTCTCTCTCGTCTTGCGCTCTCCGCGTTCGTCTTTCTCTCGACCTAGCTCTTCTCTCCTCTCGCTCTCACCGTCTCTCTGCGCTCGGCGCTCGCTCTCTCTCGCTTCTCGCTCGCTCTCTCTGGCAGAGAGAGAGAACAGACAATAATCTCAACAAGATCCCTATACAAAGGTCCAGTTCTGTTTTTGATGTATACAGTGATATATAGTATAATCAGTTCAGCTGTAATAAAATAAGTCCCCTCCCTGTCTCTCACCTTCTCTCCACTACTGGGTCCTGGGGTTCCAGCTCTACCAGGTGGACCAGAGGGCCCCTGAAAAACAGAACATAATATGATATCAATATATAATGGTCAACATATCGCGGCTTTAATTTCAATACTGTACTTGCGATGGCTACAGTTAACTAGGCACAAAACATATAGTCATGTCAGATATAGTAGAGAGAGGGTCCTCACTGGTAGGCCAGGGGCCCCGTCCTGTCCGGGAGGTCCAGGGGGCCCAAAAGAGCCTGACCCATGGGGGCTGACACCACCGGCTGAGGGGCCAGGGGGACCTGGAGGGCCGGGGGGACCTGGTAGACCACGGAGAGTCTGAAGAAATAGTCAACACAATATACCGTTTGTGAAAAGTCGTTTTTCTTGGCCAAACTCAAAATCTCTGCATCAGCTAAAACATACCTGCATTTTCTCCAAATCTGGGAATCCTCCTGAGCCTTCCATATCCACAAATGTCTAGGGACAAATTAAGAAACATTAAAAGTGGTATATTGGTATATTCATGTCTGATCCACATTAATGAATGGGCTGAATGGCCCGATGCTGTAGTGGTTGACTCACCGCGCGGTCACCTGTCCCTGGGCCTGGGGGTCCAGGTGGTCCTGGAGGACCCCTGGGTCCTGGGTGACCATCACCACGATCCCCCTGGAGAGGTCAGAGGGCAAACACTCAGTATTTAACCTTTGGGCACTGCCGATAATATCCAAATACTCATGCTCTTAACTAAATGGCCTCCGGCCTTTACCTTTTGTCCTTTGACCCCTGAGTTTCCTTGTGTTCCTGGGAACCCTCTGGGTCCGGCGGGTCCCTGAGTAGGGGTCGGACAGAGAGAGAAGCCACAGCTTAGTGAGACTGGCACTGTCTGACCACTGCTATTGACCACCACCGCTTATCAATCATGGCATCTGACTACCACTGTATTTCTCCTCACACAATTTACAATGAATAAAAAACCATGACATGAGCTCAATGGGATAAAACATCAGAAAGTGACACTCACTAATTTGCCATCTTCTCCTGGATCCCCCTGGGAAATGAAATAGATATGGTTTGTTACAGTCAATTCAAAGAAAATGTACTGAGACCAAGTAAAGCGAGAATGTTCTACACAGAATATGCCAGAAGGTATGGTACAACTCACCGCCTCTCCCTCTGGTCCCTGTGGTCCTGCTGGTCCTTTGACCCCTGGGGGCCCCATCGGTCCCATTGGCCCGGCCACCGGCTGCACCACAGAGCCGTCCCCTAGCCTCACCACCTGGGCAGCGGGCCCCGTAGGGCCGGGAGGGCCAGGGGGACCAGGTACGCCACGGTCCCCCTTGGAGCCTGGGTAACCGAACCCAGAACTGCCCTGTGGGGAGAAAACAATCAACTACCTATTTAATCTGATCACTTCAATGACTAGCTAAGATCAAGTCAAATAAAAAGAAGGTGGGAAGGACACAAAGTCAAACTGTACCTTCAGGCCCTTGTCTCCCTGAATGAGAAAGGAGACAAAGACAAGTTGTGTGTGATGTAACTATTACATTAGTGTCTGAGGCATGTATGTGGTCTGTCTGAATCAGTTGTAATCAGCTATAGGGGTCATCAGTTATAGGGGGTGTATATCACACAGTACTGTGCCAGGCAGCACACACTACCTTTTCTCCACGTTCTCCTCCGCCTGATGAGGAGCCAGAGGAAGAGGCAGAGCTGGAGAGAGACCCCGAGTCCCCCTTTGGCCCGGCGGGACCTCTGTCCCCTGGACTGCCCTTCTCCCCTCTGTCCCCCTTCTCCCCGTTAGAGCCAGTAAAGCCTGATGACACACAGATAGAGGGAGAGGTGGGTGTTAGAATAAACGTCAGAAGCAACATCGTGGTCATTATCGGCATGAATGTTGTTGTCATTGTCACCATCACTAGCATCCTCATCACTGGCATCCTCCACAGAAGCATTATGATTATGAATCACGATCATCATCATCATCATCATCATCATCATCATCATCTCTATCATAATCATCATCATCATCACCACTATCATCATCATCACTATCATCATCACTATCATCATTATCATCATCATCACTATCATCACCATCATCATCATCACAGTACCACACCCTCTGTTAGATGGTCAAATCATCAGATCCTCTGTATGCATCTCGTTAATCTCTCAGTTAGCTTCCTACTACCTTTGTCCTCCCCTTCCACAGAGTTCCATGTCAACCTGCTCCACAGAGTTCCATGCCAATCTGCTCCACAGAGTTCCATGCCAACCTGCTCCTCAGAGTTCCATGCCAACCTACTTCACAGAGTTCCATGCCAACCTGCTCCACAGAGTTCCATGCCAACCTGCTCCACAGAGTTCAATGCCAACCTGCTCCACAGAGTTCCATGCCAACCTGCTCCACAGAGTTCCATGTCAACCTGCTCCACAGAGTTCCATGCCAACCTGCTCCACAGAGTTCCATGCCAACCTGCTCCACAGAGTTCCATGCCAACCTGCTCCACAGAGTTACATGTCAACCTGCTCCACATAGTTCCATGCCAACCTGCTCCACAGAGTTCCATGCCAACCTGCTCCACAGAGTTCCATGCCAACCTGCTCCACAGAGTTCCATGCCAACCTACTTCACAGAGTTCCATGCCAACCTGCTCCACAGAGTTACATGTCAACCTACTCCACAGAGTTCCATACCAACCTGCTCCACAGAGTTCCATACCAACCTGCTCCACAGAGGTCCATGCCAACCTACTCCACAGAGTTCCATGCCAACCTGCTCCAAAGAGTTCCATGCCAACCTGCTCTACAGAGTTCCATGCCAACCAATTCCACAGAGTTCCATGCCAACCTGCTCCACAGAGTTCAATGCCAACCTGCTCCACAGAGTTACATGCCAACCTGCTCCACAGATTTCCATGCCACCCTACTCCACAGAGTTCCATGCCAACCTGCTTCACAGTCCCATGCCAAACTACTCCACAGAGTTCCATGCCAACCTTCTCCAAAGAGTTCCATGCCAACCTGCTCCACAGAGTTCCATGCCAACCTATTCCACAGAGTTCCATGCCAACCTGCTCCACAGAGTTCCATGCCAATCTGCTCCTCAGAGTTCCATTCCAACCTGCTCCACAGAGCTCCATGCCAATCTACTCCACAGAGTTCCATGCCAACCTGCTCCAAAGAGTTCCATGCCAACCTGCTCCACAGAGTTCCATGCCAACCTATTCCACAGAGTTCAATGCCAACCTGCTCCACAGAGTTACATGCCAACCTGCTCCACAGATTTCCATGCCACCCTACTCCACAGAGTTCCATGCCAACCTGCTTCACAGAGTCCCATGCCAACCTACTCCACAGAGTTCCATGCCAACCTGCTCCAAAGAGTTCCATGCCAACCTGCTCCACAGAGTTCCATGCCAACGTATTCCACAGAGTTCCATGCCAACCTGCTCCACAGAGTTCCATGCCAACCTGCTCCTCAGAGTTCCATTCCAACCTGCTCCACAGAGCTCCATGCCAATCTACTCCACAGAGTTCCATGGCAACAGAACATGCTGAGGAGTGCATGATGAGATCTCATCAACCTAGTCCAGTGAAGCTTCCCTGAAATCTGACAGGGAGAAGTAAGGGTATACTGTCCTGGAAATCAGGGACTGGTTGTCAGGGAACTCCACTGGACCTCATTGGAGAGTGTTTATAATATAGCCAGACAGACAGACAGCCGGATGGACGGACAGACAAATGACCTACCTGGTTGACCTCCTGACCCTGGTCTGGACTCTACTGAGGTCTGATGATTCCTGTCACCTACAGTCAATCAACACAAACACACTTTTCCAGCATGCCTAGTTTCTAGTATACTAGAAAACACTAACAACGATCAACAATCAGCCACTCTTGGAGGAAAATTAAAGGTAATGTCTACCTTCTCCACTAGAGGGTGCTAGTGTGCTGTATATCCCAGCATACAGTATGTAATAAGCGACAAGGTTCTCAAGCCCAGACAAGTAGCGTGGTATTACACTAGGTACATATTTCCATGACAGATAGTTTCACAGTTTTTACATCAACAGTTTTCGTTAGTACTGCAGCTACTCTAAATACTCTAAATATAGCTAGACTATTATTTGCGCATTTTCAATAAACCTAAGCAGAAAGGAGAAAAAACATGATGATGATGTCATCATTGTTCGACTCAGCCCACTGACCTGTCTCTGAGAGCCTGTCGCTCACTGATGACGTCAGAGGGGGCTCTGGCACCGGTCGGAGAGTTGGAGGGGTGGTCTGACAGGAGGGAGGAGAGGGAAGTTAGACAGGACAGACAGACCCTGATCCAATACTTTCACATTGAATCCTTCCTTCTATTTCCACATCCCAGAATAGATTAACAGGACAACACAGGAAGATACCTTTACAGTTTGGCCTGTCTCTCTTCTGTCCCCATCCCCACTGCCAAAGTCACCTGAGGCCTGAGAGAGAGAGAGAGAGAGAGAGAGAGAGAGAGAGAGAGAGAGAGAGAGAGAGAGAGAGAGAGAGAGAGAGAGAGAGAGAGAGAGAGAGAGAGAGAGAGAGAGAGGGAGAGAGAGAACGAGACAGACAGACAGAGACAGAGTAAATTTAAGGCATTTAAAAAACGTTAGTTGAGATGAATCATATCATATTCCTACTAAACTGTGTCTGGTTCTACAGTCTGATCACTCACAGCGTCCGAGTCATCATCGTCTTCACAGAGTAGCTCAGCTGATCGAGGGTTGCCCACCACTTTCAGCTCAGTGATCGCCCCCTGCACAACACATACACACACACACACACACACACACACACACACACACACACACACACACACACACACACACACACACACACACACACACACAGACACACACACACATACAGACACACACACACACACAGACACACACACACACACACACACACACACACACACACACACACACACACACACACACACACACACACACACAGACACACAGACACACAGACACACAGACACAGACACACAGACACAGACACACTGATGGCTGTGAGAAAGGAGATACTGTATAGCCATTGGAGCTGTATGAATTTAATGAGCCATTAATATACAGTCAAATGTAAAGAGAATGTGTCTGACTGAGTCTGGCTGTGACCTTACTAACTCAGAACAGACTGAGTCTGGCTGAAACAACAGACAGGGTTCTAAATCTCTCCCAGGGGCCTGATAGAGTTAGACTAGGAGAACGCACGTGTCAACACGCTGTGTGTTAAAAACAGCAGGTGTGAGTGAGATGCAACCTAAACCCACACGTCGTTCGGGGGTAAATCCCTCACTAATTGCTCCCTCAGGAATCTCAGTCAGGTATGTGTCCGGGTCACTGGCAACAGAAAAGCCAGACAGCCAGTCACATCTCACTAACACAGCACCACTAACCCCTCCTCCCTCTAGTAAATCTATTAAATGACCTGTCCTGTCGTCTAGCCTTTCAACTTTGACCCCTGAGCACAGTCACTGACCCGTCTGACCACATGTGATGGTCACATGGGGTTTGACCCAGAGCGAGGGTTGAGGGTGGGGTTGCAGAACAACAGAGAGACATCAAGGGAAGAGTTATGCAGATGTTTTACATGAGGGAACAATATAGTAAATGATAAATATGTGTGGTCAGGTCAGCATTAGAGGTGTGGTTGGCGATCCATACTGTACCTCAAACCTGTCAGGGTCCGCCCCTCCCGCCTGACCCACGAAGATGCCCGCCCCCCTGTCCAGCTCCATGTCATCCGGTGAGCGCTCCAACTTCACTGTCTTCCCAGAGGCGTCGCACCCCATGAAGAAGGTCACCTGGTCGTTGAACACGGACAGAGAGAACTTGGTCCAGGAGTCTAGGTCCAGGGAGGGCACGGTGAAACTAGCAGCTAGGTACGAGGCCTCCGAGTCGGGCTCTGTGTAGTAGAACAGAATCCTCTGATTCCTGCCGTCAGCGTCCGGGGCACTCAGCTTCACCCCCACGTACATGAACTTCTGGGAGGCGTCTGTGATGGAGAAGAGGACCCCGGGACTGGAGGGGATGATTTGGAAGACCAGGGAGAAGTCTCGGTAGAAGGGGTTGGGGAGGTGGGCCAGGGCCGGCTGTCCCGCAGCGGTCAGCCCATCCAGCCCTCCGAAGTAGTAGGCAGGTTTTCCCCCTGGACCGGTCCGGGACTCATCAGGAGGCAGGTCTCCGATCAGCTGCAGTAGAGTCACACCACTCTCCGCTGCAGGGGGAGGAGACAGGATAGGAAGTGAGGTCACACACACAGGAAGCCAGCGCTTACAGTACAGGAGTCTCATTGGCCCAGTCCAGAAACAAAGCCCTAGCCCTTACTTAGGTCCCAGGGCACTGTGTAGATCTGAAAACATTGGATAGCTGTAAGCAGTAGAATAAAAATGTCACCTTACATTCTGATTTGTCTATCTAATTCTTTCAGAGCTAGTCTACATTAAGTTCCTAGGGCTTCTTTCAGATCGTGTCTACATTAAGTTCCTAGGGCTTCTTTCAGATCTAGTCTACATTAAGTTCCTAGGGCTTCTTTCAGATCTAGTCTACATGAAGAGCCTAAGGCTTCTTTCAGATCTTGTCTACATGAAGTGCCTAAGGCTTCTTTCAGATCTAGTCTACATTATGTACTCCTGAGTGGCGCAGTGGTCTAAGGCACTGCATCGCAGTGCTAACTGTGCCACTAGAGATCCTGGTTCGAATCCAGGCTCTGTCGCAGCCAGCCGAGACCGGGCGGCGCACAATTGGCACAGCGTCGTCCAGGGTAGGGGAGGGAATGGCCGGCAGGGATGTAGCTCAGTTGATAGAGCATGGCGTTTGCAACGCCAGGGTTGTGGGTTTGATTCCCACGGGGGGCCAGTATAAAAAAAAATGTATTCACTAACTGTAAGTTGCTCTGGATAAGAGTGTCTGCTAAATGACTAAAATGTAAGTTCCTAGGGCTTCTTTCAGATCTAGTCTACATTAAGTTCCTAGGGCTTCTTTCAGATCTAGTCTACATTAAGTTCCTAGGGATTCTTTCAGATCTAGTCTACATTAAGTTCCTAGGGCTTCTTTCAGATCTAGTCTACATTAAGTTCCTAGGGCTTCTTTCAGATCTAGTCTACATTAAGGGCCTAAGGCTTCTTTCAGATCTAGTCTACATTAAGTTCCTAGGGCTTCTTTCAGATCTAGTCTACATTAAGTTCACAGGGCTTCTTTCAGATCTAGTCTACATTAAGTGCCTAAGGCTTCGGGACTTTGAGTTGTTTCTGAACCAGAGCCTTTTTTCTCAGCTCCTGTTTACTCTACGCGCGTAACCACTGGTTTAGGATCAGCTATACACTCTTAGAAAAAAAGGGTCCCAAAAGAGTTCTTCGGCTGTCCCCATCAATAACCTTTGTTGGTTCCAGGTAGAACCCTCTGTGGAAAGGGTTAATTACGGAACCAAAATGGCTCTACCTAGGGTTGCAAAGGGATGGTATATTACTGGAAACTTTCAAAGTTTACCAGTAAATTACCTGAATTTTGGTATCTTTCAAGGATTTTATTTAATCTATTACAAGACACCTAGTGTCCCTTTTGGGTACTTCAGATGATCACAGGTGTCTGTAATTATCTCTGGCCCTCTGTGTGGCCTTATCATATGTAACATTATTTCAATAATTAAATAAGATGATTTTCAAATACAAAATTGAATGACAAAGCTGTAAAACATTATCCAAAATATAAACCATCATCATGAAATATCATTTTATTTATTTTACTATGTATTTGTTGTCAATGTTTCAGCGTCAAACTGGTGGCAGTTGTGAAAAATGTAAATAGTTGGAAGAGTTGCAGAGTTAATTGAACATATTGCCATTGTTGTTTGATGCTTTTTTCATTATTTAGGCTATTCTCTCTTGAACCAGATGATCTATATACTAGAAACAATATGTGGACAATATGGACACAGATACACAACATGAATACTATATACTGTATGAATACATTTTGTAAAAGTTATTCAAATATAAATTATCAAGGTTACGATAGATTGCCATAGATTTTCTATTAATTACCCAAAATGACTGAACATGTCAGTAACTTTGGTAAACTTCTGGTAGCTTTGCAGCCCTAGTTCTACCTGGAATCAAAAAGGGTTCTTCAAAGGGTTCTCCTATGGGGACAGCCGACAAATCATTTTAGGTTCTAGACAGCACCTTTTTTTCTAAGCCTGTACCATCTTCCTTTACCATACCCACAAACCATTATCAGCTAAACAGCCAAACTGATCCCAAGTCAGTTGTTAAGGGCATAGAGTAAGCATGCACATAGGGTACTTTATCATTGACATGAGGTTACCGAAGGGTACAAGGGCACAGTGCAGTAGCAGGTTAGAAAGCACCATGCCTCCATTAGTGTGCTGAGCTTCACCAAGTGACTTAGTCGTGGTGAGTGCCTCAGGTCATAGCCATTCATGTGCAGTGGAGAAAACAACATACTCACTGGGCAAAAACTGGTTGAATCAACGTTGTTTCCACATCATTTCAACAAAAAAATTCAATGTGATGATGTTGAATGAATGTGGAAAATTGATTGGATTTGAAAAAAGTCATCAACGCAAGGTAATTTAGTATTTTTTTAACCCAACTTTTAACCTAAATCTAATGACATGGTGAAATGTTTTGTTGATTTCACGTTGAATTCACGTTAGCTGACAACTCAATCAAATGTAAATCAAAACTAGACGTTGAACTGAAGTATGTGCCCAGTGGGTACCAACTCGTGACCTAGCGAATGGTCAGCGAAAGGTCCGTTGCAGAGTGAAATGACAAACCTCAGGCCACATGGACCAAACCCAGTACCCAGTAGTAGTTAATGGTTCAACCTCACCTAGGACAGGTCAAACCCTTCACAGACCTACAGTATGTGGTCAATGATGAACCGTTCTATGTTTCTTTGATGGGCGATAGCAGATCTCGTGACAGCTCACATTCTCTTTCAAGCGCAGTGGTAAGCCTGCTTGACCAAGCTAGGTAGTAGATGGAAAAGAAAAGCAATTTATGGAGAGAGTTTTGGGGTTCAGGAGGCAGAGACTGTGTCAAATGAACTTGGGCTGGTTTAGCATGGAAAAACGTCTGACTGTAGTCCAGTTCCCATGGACTCAAATAGCCTAGAGGGAAATGAGGAGTAGCTACATGAGACTGACCATCACATTCACATGAAATACAACGTCTAGGGAACTAAACACTGGACAGACAGACATCCTCTCATGGGTGAACTGTCAAAATAGATTTATGACAGCTGTTTACAGAAAAGCCCACACTATACATTGTGAAGGTCACACGAACCAGCGATACTTGAGATTTCCTATCCCTCGAGTGATGTGAACTTTAAACAGGGGAAGTGAACTCCGTAACACAGTCATTTAGTCTCAGAGGATCTAGATTGAACCATGAGGCGTTATTCCAGTAGCTAGTAGTGTATACAGAAAAGGGATCTAACTTCTCAATGGCCAAAAGTGCCATTCATAAGTAAGTGCAAAATGATACTGAAGATTATACAACGGGTGGGTTTAATCCTGAATGCTGATTGGTTAAAACCGCATTCCAGCCGGTGTCTATTCCACAAGTTACCACCGGCTAAATCTATGAATGCCCTTTCAGGTGGTTGATTAAGCCTACATTTCAAAATGGACCATGTCTCATATTAGTATCATATTTCCAGTTGTGACAGTGTGAATGACATTTATTGGACTATTGGAGAGTACTTGGACAACAACCAATTCACAATGACTGGAGTCCTACTACATCCTCAAATGAATTGGAACAAGAGACTCAACACTTGCTGGACTAATCCCAAACATATGTTTCCACAAACCAACACAGCAACACCACTTAGTCTCTACAGTCTGTACTCACTCCCACACCATTTAGCCAAGCCAGCTAGGGTCTCACTGGACACTGTTGTTATGCTATCTACATTCTAAACCTGCACGTCAACCGAAGCTTAGCTGAAGATTCCGTGGGATTTCAGCCAATTAGTGGGAGGCTGAGGGGGCGAGGGGGAGGCAGCTTCCCATCAGATGCACCTGCTATTGGTCCATCTGACAGGGCGCTAGGGCAGTCACAGCTCTGGCCCGGTTAGCCCAACACTAACCCAACACTAACCCAGCACTAACCCAACACTAACCCAACACTAACCAAACACTACCTCAACACTAACCCAACACTACCTCAACACTAACCCAACACTACCCCAACACTAACCCAACACTACCGCAGACACTAACCCAACACTACCGCAGACACTAACCCAATACTACCGCAGACGCTCTTATCCAGGGTGACTTACAGTAGTGAGTACATACATTTTCTTATTTTTTCCCCCGTGGGAATCAAACCCACAACCCTGGTGTTGCAAACACCATGCTCTACCAACTGAGCCACATGGGACCAGGGTGGCTGGCCAGGCAGGCAGCTTCCCTTCCCTGTTCCCAATCTGACATGATTCCATGATTCTCCACGCTGGTCTGATCCTTCACGCTATCCTGGCAACGCTCAGGGACATTCCACAGCACTGCAGTAATAGGGAGATGAATTTACAGAGTTCCAGGGATTCCCAGTCGGACATAGGAGATTAAGGGAATATCCTGTCGGTTACGTACTGCAGATGTCCCATCCCAATAGGGAATATATTCCCACCTCCCACAGATCGGGGAATCCATGGCCTACAGTGCACATTTTTACATTTGCAAAAAATAACATCAAACCTGTTTTTGCTTTGTCATTATGGGGAATTGTGGGTAGATTGACGAAGGGAAAAAAACAATTTCATCAATTTTAGAATAAGAATGTAACGTAACAAATTTTGGGAAAAGTGAAGGGGTCGGAATACTTTCCAAATGTACTGTATGTCTATGTCAGCTGAGCTTATTCACCTGATAGTCACCTGATCTCTGTATGTCACCTGCAATATCAATAACATGGCACCATCATTTTGTGAAGTGAGTGGGCTAAACAATGCATGTACTGACCATAGAATGTCATGCACAAAGCAAAAAATCCAAAACGAAACTAGGATTTGTGTGTGTGTGTGTGTTTGTCTGTCTATATGCATGCATGTGAAACACATCTCAGATGTCCATGGGAAAGTGGGCCATGTGGGAATCCAATAAGCTTTGTTAAGTACAGTACCCAGCACAACAGGCCTGCCAGTCTAAACATGCTGAAGTGGCTAGGGACGAGGGCTA